CTGCGGTGGCCAGGATGCATCCAGTGGAGAACAACACTTTGCATCCTCAGCCCTTTACAACAGGCCCAGCCTGGGCTGGGTAACAGCTCCTGGAACTCATCCAGAACCAGAGCCTGCACTGGCATTCCAGGGCTGTCCACGCTGCTGGGCAGGAGGCAGTGCCCAGCTCCTGGCAGAGGCTCCCCTACAGCTCCTCTCAGGTCTGCTGCAGGTCTAGGGACTCCACGAGCTGCAGCTTTTACGACAGAACCTGCAGTGTGCTGGAAATGTGTAAACTCCATACCTGCAACAGACTCCACTGAAGTGTTCAATTACTCAATTAATATTGACTAGAACGAAGATAATTAATTTTACTAGTAAGAAATAATTACAAGATTTTGGCCTCCTAAAGAGCAATCTATTTTTAAGTAAGCCTTTTGACTTCTGCTTTTCCTTTACATGAAAGCGTGGCTTTTCTTCTACAGGGAAGAAACCTGGAACAGACATTAGAAATACAAGCAGGATATAAAACACAGAGCACAATAAACAGTTCTGACTCCAGAAATCTCGTGACATTTTTGTTCTTGTCAACAGGCTCTAAACTCACAGCTAAAGTGGAGTCAGTTCAAAACTGCATGCCCCTCAATTCAACTGCACCTCCACTGGATGTTAGTGTGAACTTGTTATGTCATAGTAATGTCTGGATACATCCAATGAGTCTAAATTTGTTAAACAAATGTGGTTTTTCAGAAAATGTTGTGATATAATGACTCAGTTTTCAGCATTTCAAAGCATTTCAGCATTTCAACATTTCATTCATGTTAATTACACCTTTCAGTACAGAAAATCAAGATGGACTCTTTGTTCTGACTTGTACATGTCAGTACTTTCATGTTCTATAATCTTCTTTCTTCTAAGTTTACTTTCACCTGAACCAAGCCTAAGACTGGAGGATCACAGTGATAAAAGAAACAGACGTGCTTATCAGTGGGTGGAGAGATCCACTACAGCCCTTAAAATGAAAGTGCTGCTCTTTCCAGCATGACGATTCCCCTGCTGAGAGAGGCTCCTTACAACTGAGAGCCAGTGTAAACCAACAGAGCCATCAAAGACTGGACCCTGGCCTCCACCCGATCCTGGCCAGCACTCCCACATCACTGCCACAACCCCGCCATGCTCAACACAGGAATTTGTGAGGCTTCACAGAGAACCAGCTTGAGAAAAAGATTTGGGTTTAAACCAAACTTTTTTTTTGTTTTTACTTGGGGGTGATTTTACCCCATACCAGTTCCTCAGTGCAATTCACTTTCTGGCTTCAAAATCATTCGTGCAGGCTCAATGCAAGGTGTAAGAGGAGATGACAAGTGGCCCAGACCTGGCAAAGGTGGCACCTCTCTCTACAGAAACGCAGCTCAAGCTAATGAAACTGTACCTCTACTGAGCTCCAAATGCCCATCTGCTACATCATACCTGGAAATATCTGGATTCATATCATCAAATCCTTACAGGCCTCTGCAAAAGGAACCTAAAAAAAACCAAAAAACATATAAAACAACAAAACAAAACAAACAAAACAAGAAAGCCACCAGAAAGTTAAGCCTAAATATGTGATAGATGCAGCCCCAAGCAATTTCTGAGCATATATACACAACTGCAGGAACCCTCTGGATCATATCACACCAAATACCATGCCTGTATTTCTCTCCTATTTCCTTCAGGAGTGAGTAGCAAACTTACAGAACTATCCCCTACTCATCTCAGACCTGAAAAAGTAGTGTAAAATAGCATTCTACTGCATTTTACCCTCTTGCAGAGAAATTTGCTATGAATTAGGATCCGAAGATTCCCCGAGGGATCTTTCATTTACAGCTGCTTCCAAAGTCTGGACAAATCATCATGACCTTGGCAGGTGGCACCCAGCTGCTGCAGCTCAGCTGTGAGGTCCCTTGGTCTGCTGCAAGCACTGCTCACGTGTACTTGTTCTGTGCACAGTGCTCTCCAAAAAGCTCACGGAACTGCCTTGGAAGAAAATGCGATCAAGTTCAGGCGTGCGCCCAGGTGGCTGGAGCCTTGTCACCTGTAGCTGTATGGACTAAACACTCCTTCACCATAATCACTTTTCACAAGCAGAATTAGCAGCATTACACTTTGACTTTTGTCTATTGAGCCCACATAAGCCACTTCCTAGAATAATGCTAAAATAAGTGATCTACAGAGGCTTTCACTTCCTTCCCTGCCCTGTAAAGTATTGTTCTCTGCCATAAACATGTCAGAAAAGAAAAATTTGGATAATTCTCTGAGCCTGAAAGCAATTTCCCCCCAAAAGCTCTGCTCAGAAGAGTCTAGAGTATTATGAAAGCTAGAGCTAAAATAGAGACTAAAAATTTAGAAAAATAGTATCAGTTTTCTTTTATGTATCTCAAAGAACAGAAAGCAATTGGACTTTCCTGACACCTTTTTGCTTCTTGAGCCTTCTTGGGCTCATGAATATGATCAAGGATTCTCATTAGCTGCCTGTCAGAAAAAATATGAATTGCAGGAAGGCCTAATTTAGTTATTTTTGTGTTTATTGGACACTGCCAGGTTTATAAAAGATTGGCTGTTGTCAAGATGTTGACATCCAGAGTTCATGTGCTCCTTCAGATCAGACAAAATTTAAGTTCTGCATTCACAAGGATGACAGAAACGGTAAGTGGTGTTAAAAAAACAATTAAAATGTGCTCCATCAATCTGGTGACCCCAGGAAGTGAAGGAAAAAAGCTCTATCACAAGGAGAAGCTTTAAAAAGAAGACTTCTTTCACTCTATTTTGACAAAAAGGCATATACCAGGAAACTGAACTTTGAAGCCTGTGAGGATGCCTGCACGAGTACACAACCGTGGGTCTTGGGAGTTCAGACAGGTTGGTGTCCCCAAACAGACTTGGGAAGCAAGAGCAGACAGTTGAGACATCCTCCAGCACCACTTGTCTCTCATTTGGCAGTGCAGGGTCTCCCCAGACACTGTCCAACAACATGGGAAAAGGACACCACTCAGGCGAGTTTTTTATTTTGATTAGAGCTGAAATCCTTAAGCCCAATGTGAAAGGTTGGAAGCATGAATCTAATCTTTGCCACATGTGAACAGAGGAGCCAAGTCTCTTGTAGTTACTGATGTGAGAGACAGCACAATTAAACCCATTTCTGTGGATTTTGGTAGATTATAACGAAAGAAAAGGACAAAAATATTTTTTCATTGGAGGTGTTTACTGTCCTTCCTGTCTGGAAGCAGTTGTCAAGCTGTGAAATCTCTACTGTATCTCCTTAACAAAACTCTGACATTAGATGGGAATTAGATTAAGAAAAATTAATATTATATGCAAAATTCAACATATTTTAACAGCTAATAAGCCTCAGCAGCTTTGATTCTCAGTAAAAAGCTCTTCTGGCTGAACATAAGATGCACTTTTCCATTTTGGCATCTTCTTTGCTGCTCTGAACACAAGTATCTCACAAAGTCTTATCTTTCAGTGTACAACCCCCAGGTAAAAAAAAAGCTTTGGCTTTTTTTTTTTTTTAAACAGAAATACAGAAAAAATTCCTCTGCATTTTCAAGTCTCATGGCTATCTTGATAATCTGAACTTGTAGATTCATCAATCATCTGCTGAGTTTCACACCTCACCCCAGTTCTCACTGGTGGCTAAAGGAGAGGTAGGTTCCTTCTGAGGACAAACTTCAGCACATGCGTCCTCTCTCACACACACCTTCCATCTAACTCTGACAAAACTTATCTCGCAAAACTCCATATTACATTTTCGAAAGAAGGAATTACCTTTAACTGATGATAAACTGATATAGATAAAGATGCATTTTCCAATATGGTGAGCTAAACTTCAGCTGTCGGACTGCAAATTAACACTGGTCTGCTCCAGAAACACTCACCTCATGCCCTGACACCTACCTTTACTCTTATGCCATTGTCATTACCTCCTAAAACCTACCAGCTGGTCTGGCTTGAAATGATTCCAGAAGTGGAATTTGCTGCCAAGTATCTGATTTGAAGTTGTCGGCAACTCCGGTCTAAAATTAGGGTTGGTTGGTTTGCTAGGTTGGTTTTTTGTCGTTATCCTACTTGCATTTTGATCACTACACAAATCTTTCTAAAAACAATTAAAATCACAAACTAAATACCTCAGCCTCTTGCCCAGTTTTGCCATCCTTTTCTCTGGGAACAGTTTTCATTGCCAGCAAGAAAATCTCCCTCAATTCCATCGTTTTTCATGCCACGGGGTAAAAGCGGCGCTCCCGCGCTCGCCGCGGGCTGAGCAGAGCCCGCGCCGGCCCGGCCCGGCCCCGCGGCGCCCCGGCCCTCGCCCTGCCCCGCTCACCTCCGGCCTCCGGCGCCGGGCAGCGCCGGCCCGGGCTCCGCCGCGCCCCGCCAGCGGCCCCTGCGCGCCCGGGCGGAGCCGCCGCCGGCGGGCTCGGCTCCCGGCCCGGCCCCGCTCCGCTCCCGGCCCTGCCCTGCCCGCCCGGGCCCTGCCCCGCTGCGTTCCCGGCCCTGCCCCGCTGCGCTCCCGGCCCTGCCCCGCTCGGCTCCCGGCCCTGCCCCGCTCGGCTCCCGGCCCTGCCCCTGCCCGCCCGGGCCCTGCCCCGCTCGGCTCCCGGCCCTGCCCCGCTCCGCTCCGCTCGGCTCCCGGCCCTGCCCCGATCGGCTCCCGGCCCTGCCCCGCTGCACTCCCGGCCCTGCCCTGCCCGCCCGGGCCCTGCCCCGCTCGGCTCCCGGCCCTGCCCCGCTGCGCTCCCGGCCCTGCCCCGCTCGGCTCCCGGCCCTGCCCCGCTGTGCTCCCGGCCCTGCCCCGCTCGGCTCCCGGCCCTGCCCCGCTGCGCTCCCGGCCCTGCCCCGCTCCGCTCCCGGCCCTGCCCCGCTCGGCTCCCGGCCCTGCCCCGCTGCGCTCCCGGCCCTGCCCCGCTGCGCTCCCGGCCCTGCCCCGCTCGGCTCCCGGCCCGGCCCCGCTCCGCTCCCGGTCCTGACCTGCCCGCCCGGGCCCCGGTTCAGGGCGGCCTCGCGGGGAGATCTCGGCGCGGGGGACCCGGGTCTCCTTCAGCGAAATTGTAGCTGCTCTTTACACGGAAAACAGTGGTTAAGGTAATTCATAGTATTTCAGTCGAAACAGGGAGAAAGTGTTCCTTCGGTGCACCAGTACATTTGTGTAGATTTCAGGGCTGGGGGAAAAAAAAACAAAACACCCTTAAGATGATCTAGTCTGTCCTGTGTTACGCAGGCCAAAAAAAATTCCACTCCGTCATTCTTGCTCTCAAGCCTTGGGAGTACAGATCCTGTTTGCTGTTCTGTGCTATAATGCATTCTTGAAGCACTTAAGGCTGTTCCCTTGTCTTACTGAAATGCTGTCCATCAACTCTTTTCTTGCCAGACTTTTCTAAAGCTGTAGTCAGCACAGTTATGATGAACATGGTTATAAATACCTTTGCAGACAGAAATGTGAACAATTTTAAAACAAACACAGTGACTTGCTGATAGTTTTCTTGCTTACCCATTGGAGTCCACCTGCTCCATTCTCACTAGGCAGTGTACAATCCAGCTGCTGGCAAAAGGATGCCTTGTAAACAGTCTCTGTTACAGTAGCCAGGTTGCCACAGCCTATCTGAGGACATTCTTGCAGGGTACTGGGGCCCTGGAGTTACAATCTTGCCAGGAAACTCCGGCCATCTCAGAGCCCCAGGGGACCCCTGTACACCTACAAGCAGGTGGTTGTCCAGTAGCTCCTTGTGTGGCATAACTGACACCAGCTTAAAACAGTGCTTGATCTGCAATGCCTATATTTATAAAGCCAGTTTTTCTGGGGTTGATCCGAAGTCCATTGATGTGAATGAAAACTCCCACTGACCTCCAAAAGATTGGGATTGGGCTTTCTACAAGCAACAGTCTGCTTGTTTCAGTGTGTGCAATAGGTGGAACAAAACCATCTAAGACCCCTGGAGCAAGGGAAGGTGCTCATGTGTTGTTTGCCTTTTATTTCCCTTGTGTTCACTGTGACTCTTTTAGTTACAGAGGTGTGACCCAAAGTCCTCCCACTCAAGAGGACCCATCTGTGTCCTCACCAGAGGGTCCCCAGCACACAGAGCCACAGCAGCACCACGACCCAGCACAACCCTCCATACAGCAAAGCTGTGAGCAGAGAAGAGCTCAGAGCAGAGCCTTGGTCAGAAGTGCTAACCCTGCATGCCTCAGCAGCCCATAATCATAAATCATGGTGAGTCTAGAATTACAAGTGCTGAATACTGCTACTCAATCCCTCTGCAGAGTACTGCCTTCAAGCCATGAAAGATTCCAGTTTTTTTGGGATCTTGAGACATCCAAAGGGGTCTGAAGGACAAAGACGGACAGACAGTCTCTTACCTATCATGTTTGTTCAATACTTCATGAAACAATTAGGATATGAGGTACTTAAAAATCACTAATCATTTCAGAATATGGACTGCTGAACCCCTGCTGGGTTATTATTTATATGACAATATATTTATGAGTGTACACAGATTTATAAAAAAGCAATAATTTATCCAGCAGATGCTCACTGTGAACAGGATGATAATGTGTTCAGAGGTCAAACAAGTCCTCTAGTTAGAGTCCACAAGAATGTTACCCTCTGAAACCATGTTCAGTGAGTCCAAACGAAGCTCTGAGAAAGACCGATTGCCATTTTGTCTGTGAGCTCTGGGATGTGATGCTGGGCACTGGAAAAGCAGATGGGTGGCCTTTGCCAATGGGAACAGCACCCTCGAGTGGGAAAATGAAGTTCCTCCTAGTCAGCAGGACCTGAGGTAAGCAAAATTAGTTCAGGCTGGAGAAGGCTCTAGGGAGACCTCAGAGCCCCTTTTAGTCCCTTAAGGGGCTCCAGGGGAGCTTGGGAGGGACTTTGAGCAAGGGCCTGGGGGGACAGGACAAGGGGGAATGGCTTCCCACTGCCAGAGGACAGGGTTTGATGTATACTGGGAAAAAATTCTTCCATGTGAGGATGGTGAGGCCTGGCACACTTCGCCCAGGAAAGCTGTGGCTGTCCCATCCCAGAAGTGTCCAAGGCCAGGCTGGATGGGACTTGGAGCAACCTGGGGTAGTGGAAGATGCCCCTGCCCATGGCAGGGGTGGGAATGAGATGGACTTAAAGGTCCTTTCCAACCCAAGCCATTCTGTAATTCTATGAAACTCCAAATGCAATTGTGCACTGGTACTCCCCGAGCTGGATGTGCCTAGGTCTGGCAATGGTGAGTGAATGCTTGTGCCTGCTGTGGCACATGATCTGGGCAGACCTGCTGGCCATTGCAGCCTTACGGGTCCATCTGCCCATCAACAAATCTCACCTTGTGTGGATTCTTGCATTCAAGTCACTTCTGAGTTGTGACTTTCATGGCACTTCATCTTACTATCTTATTCATGCACCTCTCCATCCTAATGAGGATCCCAAAGCCATTATAACTCAAGACCAGGACACAGCATTTTCATGGAAATAGTTCATGTACTCTTGAAATAGATCCTGTTTATGACCAAAGGAGGAGGCTTGTCTTCAGGAGATACTGTAATTCCTCAGGTCTTGGGAGAGGATGCTGTGGTACAGTGTCTAACTGGAACTGCACAGGTAGTTCATGGAAGAACGTGGAATTATTTACACCTGAAATTTGATAAGATGCTGTTGCTAACAGGACTATCCTTTTGAACATGCCTTTCTATTATCACTTTATGGCTTTTTTTGTCAGAGCAAGGTAAGCTGGGAGTTTTGAAGAAATTATCACTAGCAGACAACTCAGAAATTGACTTTCCTGTAGATCATGGTGAGGCATATGTTTGTGGTCAGGCAACGAGGGTGTCAGGGGGTAGATACTATGGCTGACACATCACTGATGCTTCTCAAGAGGATCCAAACCATGATTAACTGCACCAAACCTCCTCTCTGAAAATGCTCATGTTCTGAATCAGTGACATTTATCATGCCAACACTCCCAACACTAACAGTCTGAGGAGTCTTAAAGTCTTCTATCATCAGCTAAGACAGGTCATTAAAATAAATCCCCACTGTCTTCGAGAAAGCAGGTATCTCTGTTCCAAGTCTGCTGTGGATTCGTTCAGTAGAGGCTATGAATTCCAGTTCCACCTGGGTGCCTCCACATCTGCTTGCTCATAGCACCAGATATAGCATCATTTTGGCACTGGTTGTGGCCAATGGGGTATTGGGTTTTACATGACTAAAGCAGAAGGAGTCTAGCAATTAAAAAACTGTACAGCAGTAATGGAATGTATGAGCCTGTGGTGCAGAGCCTGGATCTGTGAATGCCATCAAAGCCTGCACATTACAGCAGCAAGAGCTTTATTTTACTCACAGGACCTTTATAAATTACACACTCTCCTAGAGAGTGTGCTTGGAGTGCTTTGAACAGGTCTCTGCCATCTCAGTTACACTGAAATGCAGAGATGGTGGGATTTAAAGAATGTTCTTTATTAGGAAAATTTGAAAATCTTCTAGGTCTCTTTCCATTTACCAATGGCTATTCCTGTAAAAGCAATGTCTTCTATGAATTTTCTGGAATAACATCTCTTTGAGGGTCAACGCCATCTCAAGACATTCCTTTACTGCTGATCATACTATTCCCTAGGAAGATAAGACACAGCTTCCTGTTAACACCATTGTAAGGATATTTTGATGTATGTACTTTCCTTTTTCCCACTTAGATAATTCTGAATTCTGTGCCATTTAGTTTCTTCATTTGTTCAAGTCTGACACAGAATTTTTTGTTTGGGCTAAATCGAGTCCCCCTTATCTGTCACTCAGCAGCTGTTTGCTACCTGGACTCTGTCCTAAATCCTGCAGTGACAGGTGATGCCCACTGACACAGCTCCACTTACTCTCTTTCCTGCTGGCACCCCCACCCCAATATTCTGACACTGGTGTCTGCTCTTACTGTGTCATTTGGTTTCTGAGCCCTAATGTTTAGGGTCACAGAGGGACCTCAGATTCTCTATGCAGACAGCACGTCCCACATCCCATACCCATTGCTGTTTATTGCAGTTCACTTACCCGCTCCTGCTGCTGGTGGCTGCTGCACTGTCTTACTTGCACATTTTTCCTGCCATGTATCAGCCTGAATTGGTTGTCCTTGGATATCCTTACAACCTTGGGTGTGCAGAGAAGGTGACTTATTGCCTGGTGCCAAAGTTCAGTATCTTGAGAGAAAGGTACAATTTTGTGAGTGTAGTAGAAATAGGAGAGATGCAGACACCATGGGTACTCTCAGACACTGCGTGAGCTCCTCCCCCAGCTCTGTGGGGAGGCACATGGGAGCAGCTTTGTTCCTATTTTAGGTACAGACCAAAGTATCCAAGAGCCATTTGTACTCTCTGTGCAGCCTGGCAGGATTTGGGTTACAAGCCTCAAAGACCTGCTATTGAGAGTGCTGCTCCAGGGGATTACAGGCAGGAAAGCTGTCCCACAATCTCTGTCCTTCAAGAAAGGCTTTCTAAAGTATCCGATCTGTGGCTAATATTAGTCTCTGCAACTTCAGCAAACAATCCAGTGCCCTTTCTGTACTGCTTGGCTCTGCCCATACCTGCTGTGATTTCATCCTGTAGCACCATTTTCAGGGTGAATGTCAGGATCTCAGGACTCATGTCACTGGACACTTAAGGGTCTCTTGCTGATATTTTTGTTGAAAAGGGTGAAGTTTCCTAGGCAAGCCTGCTGGAGTGTCAGAATATCGTCCCCTTCCTTTGCACAGCCAGTGCAGCAAAACTCAGGATGATATACTGAATAGCTGATTTTATTAGAAACAAAACTGCCTTAATTTCCATTCATTTGCTTTTGAATTTCATTCACAGGTTCTCTGACACTCACACAGAAGTACTGAGACGAATGCGTGCAAGTGGTGTTACTTGAGGTAACACCACAAACAGAACACTGGGTGCTGAGTCCTCATCATGTCTCTCAGCTCTTCATGAGTTGCTGGCCATGTGTTGCATTTTGCATACACCTTTCATGCCATTGCTCAGGCAGTGGTGGCTGCCACGGCGCTGCACCATTCAATGCCTCTCCTTGTGCAGGGCACCGGGAAGGGGAAGCTGCCGCCACACCTGCCCTGCTGCCCGTGGCACAGCTGGCTAGGAGTGCCCAAGTGAGCTTGCCAAAATGATGGTGGCTGTGGTAGCTGTATGGCCATACCCAGTGCTGGGATCAGACCCTGGCAACGGCGCCTTGCCACCCCTTGGAAAAAACTTCCCACACATAATTTTGATTTCCTTCTCAAATATGTCACCACAGAGCATTACCAGCCTCTCAAGTTGGGCCAGCAGCATGTCCGTCTTCAGAGCCATCAGAGATTAGCTCTGTCAGACACGGTAAAGCTTCTGACAGCTTCTCAGAGAAGCTACTTTTGTGGCCCTTCTCCAGTACTAAAAACTAGGCTGTGCCAAATCAGCACAGTTGCTAGCCTCACTCTCACAGTGCTGTTGATGCCTGCTGATCTATCAGACCCATGTTTGGACATATGGAAGGATCTGTGTTGTGACCCTGAGCATGTGTCACAGCTAAATCCCAGCTGGCAACTAAATACCACACAGCTGCTCCTCACCCACCTCCATCCTGCCTCTGGTGGGAAGAATCAGAAAGAAAAGTTAAAGCTCGTGGGCTGAGAGAAGAACAGTTTAACAATAAAAAACCCATAAAAGAACCCCACCAATAATAATAAACCCAATACTAGTAACTGTTGTGAAAAGGAGACAGGGATAAAAAGCAAGAGGAAAAAGTGGAGCCCAATACAATTGCTCACCATCCACTGACTAATGCCCAGCCCATTCTTGAGCAGTAATCAGCCTCTCCTGGGCAGCTCTCCCCTGTTTACTGTCCTAGGATGATGTTATGGTGTTTGTATCCCCAGTGTGTGTTCTGTTTCTGTTTGATATTCTGTTCTGTGCTTTCAGAACCGACTCTGAAAGTGAAGGTTTGTTTTGCCTTGTTATCAGCCGGCCCACCTCCCCCCATGGTCTGTTGTCTAGAAGAGGCTGGTGCTGGCTGGCTGGCTTTGCTTGCTCTTGCTCCTGCTTCTGCTTCTGCCTTTGCTTTTGCTTGTTAGTTAGTTTAGCTAAGCAGTCCAATTCTTTCCCTGGACTGTTTTTTCCCCTTTCCCTTTCCTGAATACCATCCAATCTGCTCCGGACTGGGACCTGGGAAACACCGAGGAGCACCGAGAGCCTGTGCTCTGTGATCTGCAGCAGCCATCCCCAGTGCCCAGAGCAATCCCCAGCACCCAGACCTGGGTGACCACTCCCAGGAGAGACTTTCTGGATTTGTTCATCTCTTCAGAGTGGTGAAAGAGGTTTTTTTGTCATCTGGTGTTGTTCATTTTTTGGAGCTGGGGAGTGTTTTGTTTGTTAAATAAAAAGGTACTTTTCCACTTCTCTCTGAGAAAATATTTCCCAAACCAGGTTGGGGGTGGGGGGAGGGAGGGGCTGTGAGAGTTTGTTTTCCAGGGGGTCCATCCAGAGGTTTTCTCCCAAATTTGCCCTAAACTAGGACATTTACACATTGGGGCGTCCTGTGGTGTGGAATATCCCTCTGGACAGTTTGGGCCAGCTTTCCCAGCTGTGCTCCCTCTAGCTTTTTGTGCAGCTCCTCACTGGCAGAACATGAGAGACTGAAAAGTCCTTGACTTGGGGTGAGCACAACTGAGAAACAACAAAATCAGTGTGTGATCAATGTTATGGACAAATTCAACTAGGGAGGCCAATTATAGATAAATCAATTAACAAGAAATTATTAAGCAAGCGGTAGTAAGCAAAAGAACAGCGCTGGGCAGCCGGGGAGCCTCCGCTCTACCACGGCGCGCCCTCCCCCTTTGACCTTTTTGTTTTTATAGTCCTTTTTTTTCTTTCTTTCTTTCTTTTTTCCAGTTGATGTATTTTCTCTCGATGCACTCTGCGCCTGTGCAATTGGTTGCTAGGGGGTCTTTTTTTCTGCCCTTGGTGGCCGTAAGAATGAAGGCTCCTCATCTTCCTTGCAGATTGTCCTTGGTCTAAAAGTTGACTTGTATATAATTATATATATAACTTCTATACTAGTTGCATTTGCACAATTCTTAAGCAGGATACTTGCTGTTCCCTCGGGCCCCCCCTCCTCCTCCTCCCACATCTTGAAATTCCCTACTCAGTTCAAATTCTTATCTCCTTCAATGCTTGTTTTTATGAACAAAGATCTTTTTATTTATTACAATCAACAGTATTCTCTTCATGAATCAAAAAACCACAATGATGTACCAGCCACTGGGAACAAAATTAACTCTGGGAGCCATTGTGCAGCTGGAAAACTAGTAGTGGGAAACAAAGCAAGATGGACGCCCTTATGCATCCAAAGGAGATTGCTTTATTGTAGAAATCAGCCCCTTTTTACACCTTTAGTTTTAACCTGACATAACTGAAACCAAACTGAGACTTAACAGAACTTAACAGAAAGAAGGAACCCATTGGCTGGTTTAGCTTCCATGCTGCGGTCCACGTGTCCTACCAGCCAATCAGCTTCCTGCTCATACGCTGTCCATGCTTCCTCCAGCCAATCAGCTTCCCGCTTTTCTGTTCGTAGGCCACCAACAAATGCTGTAAACCAAAAACTGCGAACACAGTCAGTCGCAAAAGCCTTCGAGACTCGCCTTGCGAAAATTACTCAGGTTTACCAAACCACCTTTTCCTTACCAAGTTACAAGTTTGTACCTAACTCCAGTGCCTATATCTATGACTACCTCATTTTATTTATGATAAGGAGAGGGGAGATGTGGTAGATAGGGACAGGCGATCGGAAGATCTCGGGATGTGACGGAAAGAAAGACCCTTCCCCCTTCTCCCTGCTTCACGTTATCTATCACCCCCAGAACATGTAACCACACCTAACCCAGTAGTTTTCCACTCCCGACTAACCTAGAGACACTACCAACACCCCGCTGACGTAGCAAAGTCCCCCAAGACTATTTAAACCCATGAGATAAGAAAATAAATGCTTTTGACCGTCCACCACATTGTTGTTAGCGTGTTGTCGTTAGCCCGAGTAGCCCGGGCGAGGCCGGGCTGCCGTGCTGTCGCCTTGCAACCAGGTCGCACGTTGCCTCTCCTGAAGGCAACACCGCTCATGCGCTGTCCATGCTTCCTCCAGCCAATGAGCTTCCCGCTCATGCGCTGTCCATGCTTCCTCCAGCCAATCAGCTTCCTGCTCATGCGCTGTCCATGCTTCCTCCAGCCAATCAGCTTCCCTCTCATGTGCTGTCCATGTGTTCCTCCAGCCAATGAGCTTCCCGCTCATGCGCTGTCCATGCTTCCTCCAGCCAATCAGCTTCCCGTTCATGCGCGGTCCATGTGTTCCTCCAGCCAATCAGCTTCCCGCTCATGCGCTGTCCATGTGTTCCTCCAGCCAATCAGCTTCCCGCTCATGCGCTGTCCATGCTTCCTCCAGCCAATCAGCTTCCCGCTCATGCGCTGTCCATGTGTTCCTCCAGCCAATCCCAGTCTCACTCCAGCTGCCTCTCAGCCCTCAGCTGCTCCCACCCGCCCAGTTTGTGTCTGTGCCTTTCCCGTGGGGCCTTCTGGTGAGTGTCAGCCTTAACCGCTCTGGTGGTTATTGCCCCGTGTCCTGCAGCACACAACGACATCCCTGCCATCGCCGACACACAGTGGGGTAACTCCCATGACTGGAGTGCTGCAGGGGGTGGCTGCAGGTTCAGAAGGGACAGGCAAGGAAGTAACCAAGCTGGGGTAACCCTATGTGTGAGTGTTTTGACTGCCTTGAGCTTAATGATGCCAATGATAAGGTTAAATGCATAGGTTTATGGTTAAGGATTGGGGGAGGAACACTGGCCATCATAGGCTGACCAACCAGGAAGAAGAGACAGACAATACATTCTATAAGCAGCTGGAAGAATCCCCACAATCACTGGTACTTGTTCTTGTGTGGGACTTCAATTTACCAGATGTCTGCTGGAAATACAACACAGTGGAAAGAATATGAGGTTCCTGGAGTGCATGGAAGAGAACTGCCTGACACAGCTGGAAAGTGAGACAACCAGGGAAGATGCCCTGCTGGGCTTGCAGTTTGTGAGCAGAGATGGACTGGTGGGGGATGTGACAGCAGAGGCCATCTGGACACAGCAATGATTAAGTGACAGAGTTTTTGATACTGGAGATATAAGGAAGGAGGACAGCAGAACTGCCACCCTGGAGTTCTGCAGAGCAGACTTGGGTCTGTTTAGGAGACTGATTGAGAGTACCAACCAGGCAGGGGAGAGGAGGTCTCAAGGGACAAAGGACACCTGGATGGCCCAATGCCTCCTGGGGGTGGAGGGCATCTTTTGAATCTGCCCAATCACTCAACACACTTCTGGAATGCCAGAAGTGACAGACAGTGCTGCCAGGGGTCAGGGTGGGGAAAGGAGGAGTGATTGACACACCTGGGAGGGCACCTTCATACGCCCAAGGCAAGAAGGATAACCAGGCTTAGAGGGGCCCTGCCTCTAGCCAGGTAGAGGTGAGGGAAAACTGTGTTTTCTAGACTGTGTGGATTCTCTGGCCTGGTACATCAGAACCACAAAGATACAATGCTTTGGTTAATACTGGTGCACAATGCGCGTTAATTCCATCGAGACACGTAGGGGCAGAATCTGTCTCTATCGCTGGTGTGGCAGGGGGATCACAGGACTTTACCTTGGTGGAAGGCGATGTAAGTCTGACAGGAAATAAGTAAAAGAAACACCCTATTGTAACTAGCCCAGAGGCCCCATATATTTTAGGCATAGATTACCTTCGAAAGGAATATTTTAAAGACCCAAAAGGATTCAGGTAAGCATTTAAGATAGCAACTATAGCGACAGAGAGCATCCAGCAACTGAACACCTTGCCTAAACTACAGTAAGACTTTTAAAGGGAAAAGAACAAAAGGTACCAGTTGCCACTTCAACAGTGCATCGTCAACAGTACAGAACAACTCGAGATGCTGTGGTTCCCATCCATAAGATGATCCGAGAGCTGGAGAGCCAAGGGGTGGTCAGCAAAACCCACTCACCCTTCAACAGCCCCATTGGGCCTGTGCGTAAATCTGAAGGAGAATGGAGATTGACTGTGGACTACCGTGCATTGAATGAAGTGACTCCACCACTGAGCGCTGCTGTGCCAGACATGCTGGAACTCCAGTACGAGCTGGAGTCCAAGGCAGAGAAGTAGTACGCCACTATTAATATTGCCAATGCATTTTTCTCTATTCCTCTGGCAGCAGAATGCAGGCCTCAGTTTGCCTTTACATGGAGGGGAGTGCAGTATACCTGGAACCAACTGCCCCAGGGGTGGAAGCACAGTCCTACCATCTGTCATAGACTAATCCAGACTGCACTAAAAAAGAGTAAAGCTCCAAAACATCTACAATATATTGATGATATCATTGTGTGGGGGAACACAGCAGCAGAAGTGTTTGAGAAAGGAGAGAAAATCATCCGAATCCTCCTAGAAGCTGGTTTCACCATCAAGAAGAGTAAAGTGAAGGGACCTCCTCGAGAGATCCAGTTCTTAGGAGTGAAGTGGCAAGATAGATGGCATCAGATTCCTACAGATGTCATCAACAAGATCACAGCTATGTCCCCACCAACCAACAAGAAAGAGACACAAGCTTTCTTAGGCGCCATCGGTTTCTAAAGAATGCACATTCCTGAGTACAGTCAGATCGTGAGTCCTCTCTACCTGGTCACCCGCAAAAAGAATAATTTCTGCTGGAGCCCTAAGCAGCAACAAGCTTTCGCCCAGATAAAGCAGGAAATTGCTCATGCAGTAGCCCTTAGCCCAGTCAGGACAGGACCCGATGTAAAAAACGTGCTCTACTCTGCAGCCGGGAACCATGGTCTGTCCTGGAGCCTTTAGCAGAAAGTGCCTGATGAGACTTGGGGCCGACCACTGAGATTTTAGAGTCAGAGCTACAGAAGGTCTAAAGCCAACTACAC